TGATACTAATTATTAATCTTATTGATATAATTTATTAATCTTATTGATATAAATTTTTGTTATAGATATTATTATAAATGATGAAAAATAAATTTTTATATGTTAAAAAATCAAATAAGTTAATAAGCAATCTCAAACACTCCTATAAGTCAATAATATAGAAGACTGTCTTTTTTTGTCATTTTTCAGATATAAACAAAATTTGTCAAACACTAAAAACAACTTATCAGCTTATTGCAGTTTGGTACCGCTATAAGCTAATCCAAACATTTTTCACAAAACTCTGATTTGATACCGCATAAGTTAATAGGCACTTTTACAAAAAAAAAAACATAAGTTGTTTTAAATAAGCAATCCCAAACACCCCATAATCTTATCCGATAAGAACAAAGACAAAAATCAAGTCTTACCAGATAAATGGGAATGAGGATTTGTCATGATAAATTGTTACATACGATACGTTTTAATGAATAAAATCTTAAAAGATAAAGTAAGCTATGGTTTTGAATCGGGTAAGTCTTTGGTTAAACGGCGCTTGTATGCATTTTGCAAATACTATTACGCCCATCCAGTTCTTTGAGCTCCCAAAAATGGCGTCTGTCTCCTCCTCCTTATCCCTCTGCTTCCTTTCTCCTCATGCCCAAGCTCGCTCCAACAAACCTCCACGTAAACAGCTTTCTCTCAAGAAGCCTAAGAGCATTAGCCCCTCTCCTCCACAGCCTCTCTCCTTCGTCTCCGGCGGCCAAGCCACCACCTACACTCGTCTACCTCCCAGAGACGATGACTTATTGTTCCTTTCCGAATCAGCTACAGAGATCAAATTGTCCGATTTAGTAATTCCCACCCATAAACCAAAGAAACCCACCTTTGCTACTGAAGATAAGATAGAGGATGATGTAGAATCCAGTACCAATGAGGAGGAGCCAGGGTTTGATTATGGGAAATTTGAGTTATTTGAGATAAATTCTGACGATGAAATTGAAGATGACAAGTTTGATGAAGATGAATTGGAATTTGAGAACAAAGGAGAAGAAGATGATGATGAGGATAATGAGAGAGAGAAGGAGAAAGGAGTGCCTGCAGTTATGAGATGTTTTGACAGGGCGAAAATCTATGTAAGGTCCGGGGATGGAGGTAATGGAGTGGTGGCCTTCCGCCGTGAGAAATTCGTGCCGTTAGGTGGACCTTCCGGTGGCGATGGTGGAAGAGGAGGAAATGTATATTTGGAAGTTGATGGTTCCATGAATTCTTTGCTACCGTTTAGGAACAGCATTCATTTTCGGGCTGAGAGAGGGAGTCATGGGCAGGGGAGCAAGATGAATGGAGCAAAGGGAGAGGATGTTGTTGTGAAGGTGCCACCTGGGACTGTGGTGAGGGCCGCCGGAAAAGATGGGGTTCCGGGAGATGTGTTGTTAGAGTTGTTACATCGAGGGGATAGGGCTTTATTGTTGCCTGGTGGAAGAGGTGGAAGGGGAAATGCTTCCTTTAAGTCAGGGGCCAATAAGGTGCCTAGAATTGCAGAGGATGGAGAAGAGGGTCCTGAAATGTGAGTCTTCCATAACTTTCGCAGACTAATTTCTTTTGATTTTCAGTTTTTAAGTTCATATATGCAGGTTTTGACATAAAAAATTTGAGTTACAACTAAGGGCGTGCTTATTAGCTGCTTAACGAGTGGGTCTCACAACTTATTCCGTTATATACAACTGTTTGGTAGTGACTTAATGACATAGAAAGTAGCTTATTTGGCAACCTTCTAGGAGAAGCAAAATGCAGAAAAAGTTTTTTCCAAACCAGCCCCTCCCAATTAAAAAACACTCTCCTTCCATCCATGAAAAAACCCTCCCAAACAAAAAACTTTCCTAATCTATATAGACAGATTAATCCCCACACACAACTTTAACCATACAACACTTGATCAAAAACCAACCAAACAGCCCCTAAGGCTAAGGATAATAGGGCATATGAAACAAGTATTAAGGCAGAAAATTGCAAGTTCGATTAAACCTCTGGGTGTAGCTGTGTTGTTTTTTATTGGCTTTTTAAAGATGAAGCCTCAACGGTGATCTCTGGTCGAGGATTGTGTACTCAATAATGTACCAGAAGTGATTCCCCAACTAAATCATCTTCACGTTCTAGCTTATCATAGTAGTTTTTTGTGCTGATTGTATATATGTGATTGTGGTCTAATTTTACTTATTTATTTCTTTCAAGTATGTTAACCTGTTGATTCTTAAAAATGGTGCTTGCCAGTAAAAAATAGTACATAAAAACAAATTCCTAAGAAAAAATTAAAGAAAGAGGCAAAGATATGACAAGTACATGGTGTTCTTAGACCTGGAGAAGACTTTTGATAGTGTCACGAGACGTGATTTGGAGGAGCATGGAGGAGAGAGGAGGATCATGGAGATGTCGGGGCAATACAAGATATGTATGGAAACTCAAGGACTTTTGTCAGGATTCCAGTGGGCGACACAGGTTACTTCCCGTGGAAATAGGGCTACACCATGGATCAACGTTAAGGCTATTCCTTCTTTGTTGCGATTTTGATTGAGATTTCACAATGGATCCTAGGGAGTGTTCATTGGTGTTTGTTATTCACTAATGACATTAAGTTGGTACTTGGTAGATGAGTTGGAAGACAGAGATGAAAGAAAGGTTGGAGCAGCGGACGCAGCATTGGAAACACAAGTTTTTGGGCATTAGCCAATTAGAATTGTTCATATTTTTTGATTGAACAGAAAAGACCGCTCCAAAACCAAAATTCTTATGGTGCAACTTCAGTAGTGAACAACGGAGGAAAAAAATCTTACAAGGTTTCCAATGATAAGGTTCTGTGGAACAAAATCGGGTTTAGAAGAAACCAAAAAAGCCATATAAATTGAGGGGAAATTGTGATGGTTTGGACACTTTCACAGGAGACGGATGCCTAAACTGGTGAGGAGGGTAGAAAACATGATAGTTGAAGGGGGTCAGGAGGAGCAGAGTGACGAAGATGTGGGATGAACAACTGAGGTTGGACATGGCGTGCTTAGACATTTCCGAGGACATGACCTCTGATAGGAGTTTTTGGAGACACAAGACCTGGGGTAGGACCTGTGGGTAACATGACTGGGAAAAGGGGAAAGTGAAAGGATATAAGGTGTGGTGACTGGTGAGACAGGGAGAGGGTTGGAGAGCCAACAGATAGGTTTTTAGAGCATTAAGAAAGATAGAGGGATGTTTAGTTTGTCGTACTGTTCTTGTGTAACCTCTTTTACTGTTTTCTAGTCTTGATTCTTCTTTTGGAAGTTCTTCGTAATTTATCTTTTGGTCTCGAGTTCCTTCCTACTTTTCAATTTCTTCCAATTGCTTTTGACAAACTTTATGAAGCACTCGGTGTTCCACCAAAATCTTTTTGCAAACTTCTTTCGCAAGCCAGAGGTCGTCATGGAAACAGCTGGTCTACTCTTTTGGGTAGAAAGTTAGGTCTGAGTACATCTTTCCCCCAGACCCTACTTCCGAGTGGAAAATACTGGGTTATTTGTTTGGTTTGCTAAATGTTAATAAATTGAGGGGCTGTTTGGTAACCTCTTAATGGTGACATTAAGAGGGAACCTCTTAATCGGTAAGAGGTTGGGGTTGTTTGGCATAAAAAATTGAACCTCTTAATGGTGACAATAATCTCTTAATGATTTAGCATCTAAGGGCTTGCCTAATGGTTCAGATCCATTTTGTTCCTTATTTGCCCTTCACTTTCACACCATGTTTCTTCCTTCCTTTCACACCTTCTTCCATTCTTCTCTCTTTTTTAATTCCTCCACCTCACCACGTTCATTCATCCTCTTCTGCAACTTATTATTAAATCCCTTTTGACTTCCCCTTCTCATCATCTCCTAATCACCACCATTTTCTTCCCCTTTCCATCCACACAAATGGGTCTATGTAGTAGCAAAACCAAATGGGCATAAACCAAGGTCAACATCCGACGAACCCAACATATTCTACACCAAATCTCCGGAGCCGGCTGTCCAAATTCTGGCCAGAAAACAACCACCACCACCACCCCCTGACACTATTCTTGGCAAACCATTTGAGGATGTTAAACAACATTACACAATGGGGAAAGAATTGGGTAGAGGTCAATTTGGTGTTACATATCTTTGTACACAAAAAAACAACTGGTCAAAGGTATGCCTGCAAATCAACATTGAAAAAGAAACTGGTCACAAACGTAAACTCCATTGTGGTATCGAATAAGCTTCTCTGTGACAAAAATGGGTTTGGAAATCAAGACGAAACTTTCGGAATTTTGAGTTCTCAGTTGACATTCATGGCGGATTTGGGTGTTTTCCGGTCAAAAACATTGAATATTTTGTCTTCTGTGTCGAAACCCACATCGAGAAGATGACATGGATGGAAGGCCTTTTGGTACTCAAAATAGAGGGTTAAAATGGTAATTTATTGTCATTCAGAGAACAGTTACCAAACAACATTATTTCATTCAACACTTAACCATTCTGGCCCTCTTAACCATTCTGACCACTTAACCAGTTTGCACCAAACCATTCAGCAACCGCCAAACAGCCCCTGAGACCAAAGCGAACAAAACAATATCTTTGAGCATCTTACACGCCAGTACTCTATCTATCCGTATGCTCAAATTGCTGAATGTTAGGGGCCGTTTACCAAACACTTACCCGGTAAGCGTTTACTGGTAAAATTAAACACTATCACTTACTTACCGGGTAGATTTTAGTCCACCAAAACGGCATCGTATGCAATAATTTACCCGGTAAGCGCTAACCATGTTAAGAGTTGCCACGATCACTTACCAGGTAAGACTTCGGTCCCTGCCTTCGTTTTTACCGGGTAAGATTCTTAGTCCTTTCATATTCATCCAGTAAAGTAATGTGACTTGGTAAGTACTTACCCGGGTAAGCATTTGGTAAAAGGCACCTTACTTATTTAAGATCTACACGGGGTCAATTGACCCGGCTTGTTCGTATTAACAATCTGCTTAGCAGGTCCATCCTAAGATACTGCTGATTTTTGTGTATGTTTTCTGGTATTTAATCATGGTGTTTTTGAGCAGGTGGTTGGAATTGGAGCTGAAGTTGGTTGCAGATATTGGAATAGTGGGTGCTCCGAATGCAGGAAAAAGCACTTTTCTCAGTGTTATTAGCGCTGCTCAGCCGAACATTGCAAATTACCCCTTCACTACGCTACTTCCCAATTTGGGTGTGGTCTCATTTGATTATGATGCTTCTATCGTTGTGGCAGATCTTCCAGGTTTACTTGAAGGAGCACACCGAGGTTTTGGTTTGGGCCATGAGTTTCTTCGCCATACTGAAAGATGTTCAGCTCTGGTATATTTTTTTTCGCATTCAACTCACGTCTTTGTTGCACATCTCTTTCCGAAAACATATTACTTCACATATGAAAGCAAAACCAACCTCAATGAATCTTTTTCTTTTACTGTTTCTTATGCGATTACATTAACTCTCCACATCTTTCTGAAAGTTCTGCACAGAATACTGATTTTCTTAACAACTTATTATGCGTTTGAAAATATTATCGTAAATTAATAGTTGTGTCATCGGAATGGAGGCTTAGGTACATATTGTTGATGGCTCGTCTCAACAACCAGAATACGAATATGATGCAGTTCGACTTGAGCTAGAAATGTTCAGTCCTGAAATTGCTGAAAAGCCGTTTATAGTTGCATACAACAAAATGGATCTCCCTGAGGCATATGAAAAGTGGAAATCATTCCAGGAGAACCTTCGTTCACGTGGGATTGAACCTTTTTGCATAAGTGCAATAAATAGAGACGGGACTCGAGAATTGATTACCGCAGCTTATGAGCTTGTACGGCAAAGAATTGAAGATGCAAAAGATGAAAGTAAGAATTCATCTTCGCTAAAATTTATGTGCACATGTTCTGTCTTCCCCATTTGTTACTACCATTACTTTCTCTTTTGATGGAGAGTTTATTTTGGCAGATAAAACATGACTATTACCATGTTTTGCTGTCATTGTCCCATAAATAGAAAGAACAACTATATTTGCACGCTTAATGAAAAAGAAAACCATATTTTAAATAGAATTCTGATGGAAAACACACTCTCATACCTCAAAGTATGGCTTTCTGGTAATAACTCCCTGAAGGATTATAGCATCTTTCTTTGCTAGTGCCAGTGACATAAATTATCCAATTATGTAGATTGTTTAGTGGGATTTATCTAGTTACTTAGACCATAATGAACTAACCCAGATAGGTCCTTCATTTTAGTCTGTATGAATGACCTAATAGACCACCAAACGGTTATGTGACACAAAACATGAAGGTAGCATGTTGGTTCTTCTTCTCTTAGCACATGCGTAACAGAGATAACCTTAGAAAATATTATCTATCCACTATCGTCATGGTGATCAATGGTGGAGTCTGATGATCTGTGAAATGTTGGTGCAGTTTCTGTAGTGTTGTTAAGTGTTGCTAAAGATGATACTTTTTTCGTGTAATGGAACTTATAGTCAGCAGTGATGATTTCTACTAAAAGGCGGTGATTGTAGGTTACACCACCTTTGACTCCTTCAAGGAGTTGTGATAGTGAAAAATGGAAATGACGACAATGGTCATCTATTGGTGGTTAAGAAGCAAAACTTGGGATAGGATTTTTTTTCCGTATCGTGAAGATGAAATTGGAGGATGAACGTTGGCAAAATGATGTTTTTGGGATAACCATGGGTACCTGGGCTAGCTTGTGCACACCTCAACTAATCCCGTGGGACCCTAAAGATAACAGCCAGGAAAATCTCTGGTGGTTCTGAGGAGTGAGGAGAGTTGAACTGGTGACCTATAGGGAGGAACCAAGGCCTAACCTATATTTGCCGGTTGAGTTGAGCTTGCCCTTAAGGTTTTGCCAAAATAATGTTGTATTCTATGTAGTGAGATTGGTACCTGTAATAATAGTTATCAAATAAAGGGAATTGATACACTGATTTCTAGTGCAACAAGTACTGGTAAAATCTATTTATTTTCTTGGAACAGTTAATCAAGTTAAAGGATTTTGTTGAACCAAAACAAGTTGAGAGAATGGTCATTTGTAACAGTTGGATAGGGCCTGCTGGTGTATCCTTCAACTATTATTATATGCTCTTGGGGCAGTTAAAGTTATTATCATGTGGAGGACCTGAAACATTCTTCTTATATTCTGAGTTCATGTCTTGATGCACATATAGTTGGTATCTTATTAAGTCCTGCCTCATGCAGGTTGGAGAGAGCCTGCACATTTCAGTCACGTGGCTGAAATGGTGAAAAAGCAGCGTACTGCTCCGATCAATGATTTTGAAATCTCTCATGATACTACTTCCAATACATGGCATATTGAAGGAGCAGGCTTGCAACGATTTGTTCAAATGACAAACTGGAAGTGAGTTTGCTCTCTCTCTCTCTCTCTCTCTCTATATATATATATATATATATATATATATGCATTATATACAGGTTCATTTGAGAACCATGAGAACCAACTATTCATGATGAATATCATGACAAATATTCATGAATGAAGATGCTGATATTCATGATGAATAATATTCACAAATATTTATGTATATTTATCATAAATAGTTGGTTCTCAAAATAATTACAGTTCCTAAAGGAACTTTCCCCCATATATAGTCGGTACGAGAACGGTACCTATTTAAGAGAATAAGAAAACGATTGAATCACATGTGATTTTACACTAACATCATGTACAAAATCACTTGTGATTCACGCGACTTTGCCCTGCGACCTGAACGCGGCCAAAGTCGCCTCGCACCTTTTTTGACCATTAATGTAAAATCACATGTGATTTTGCACATGATTTGACTGTTTTCCTATTCTCTTACATAGCATTCTTGTTTGATCCTCCCTATATATATATATATCTCCTATGTATGTGTCATTCCCCTGTCAAGCATCATGCTCTGCAGAAGCTGGCTGCTTGATATGTTGTACGCACTTGCAGTGTCAGGTGACAAAGCAATAAAATAACCTCGAACAACAATTGGTACATAATAGAGTTCGTTGATTCTCCCCACTCAAGCCTTGATTCATTCGTGTGATAACAAAAGAGACAACACTACGTAATAAATGTGCACACTTGTATGATATAACACGTTTCTTGGGTTAAATGTTTACCAGTTATACATGATAAAACTAATTCCAAGCAATCACGAACATATCAGATATTTGAAAAGACTTGTCTTCCTTTACTCTTGGTTCTCCCTGTTCTCACTTATCACCAGAATAGGTTAAAAAGAAAAGTGGGTGTCTTGATTCACAAACATTTGAAACACCAAAACTCTTAAGATCTCAAATGTTGTTAGTATCATAATTCATAAGCTTACAATATGCACCAAATTGTTAGTACACTTAATTTTTTGTGGGTGACTATGGAGTCGTATTTCCTCATTCATGTTTTGACAATACCTCCCCATGACTATTAATCTAGGAATAAGTGCCTGTTTGTTAGCTGCCTAATAAGCTTAATGAGATTCATGGCTTATTTGGTCAGTTATATGTGACTGTTTGGTAGTGGCTTAATGATATAGAAAATGGCTTATTCAGTAAGCTTCTAGGGGGAGCTTTATGCAGAAAGACAAGTTTTTAGTCAAACATGCCCCTCCCAATTAAAAACGCGCTTCTTCCATATATGAAAAAGCTCTCTAAACAAAAACCTTCCCAATCTATACAGACGGATTAATCTATATACCGACAGCTATATTTACATAGGACTTGATGGAATACGAACCAAACATCCCCGAAATTTGTTTACATTCTTAGCTTTCTCATAATAAAGGTTTATTAGAACTTGGTATCTCAATGTATGATTAGAGTTGTTCTCAAAAAGTGTGCATTCATAAATCATCTTAAAGCTCATTTTGGAATAGAGATTTGCTTTTGACCTTTTGACTACCCTCTATGTGTATAAAGTTACAAGTTCAAAATCTTAGCCCTTAACTCCAAGATGTAAGAATATTAATTTGATTCCAAGCAAAACTAGTTATACTTTCATGCATGGAGATGCTATAACGTTCACTTAGCCTATTTCTAATAACGTCTAAATATGTTATGGAAAAATTATACGAACAATTATTGCGTAGTATGTACTAATTACAGGTTGGAGGAGTTGATTTGTGGAAAACAATTTAATATTTTGATTTATTACCTCCGTTTTAATTTTTTTTAAGTTATTAGTTCTTGCTATTTACATTATGCGTGGTAGTTTTGTGGTCAAAATCAGGGTTTACAAGTAGGAAGAGCGTTTTTGGGTCCTTCATGTCAACCAAACTCATATGGTCCACGACCCATTTTCACCCGTTCTTAAAAAAATGGTGATTTTGGACCGTTGACCATTTCAGCCCTTTATCGAATCTTACCCAACCCGCACATTTGGTAGTTCTACAAACCACCTATGTTGTTCATCTTTCTACTAGCATATTAGAAATTAATTCATGTATGAAATTAAACTTTATTTTGTTTCTTTACTTGGTTTCTATACGTAACTTGAAAAGTATTGACATCTACTTGTCCTGCAATAGATATATGGATTCTGATAGAAGGTTCCAGCATGTTCTAGAGGCATGTGGTGTTAACAAGTCTTTAATTAAACAAGGTGTGAAGGAAGGTGATACAGTTATCATTGGCGAGGTATGTTACTTTGTTCTCAAACTGATTTCCCAGAAAGACCCCAACCCATCAAAACCAAACAATAGAAAAGAAGATAGGAATACTTAAACCTTGGGGGGTTAGCTCACCTGCAATAAGGCTTGGGACTTTGGGGCTCCTCCCCCGTTTGAGTCCCTCCAAAGCCATTGGGGTTTTTACCGACCGCTATCTTCACTACTCCCGTTGAGATGCGTGCAAGCTGGCCCGGACACCCATGGCTACCAAAAAAGAAGATAGGAATACCCCTTTCGAGGTTTAATGATTGTTTTAGCGGAAAGAACTTGCATGCACCTTAAGTGGAATGTCATCGGCTAAAATGTGTTTCATGCCGAAGTATTCTTGTTCACATCTATTACGAACTTGGACTAATTGTTGAAAAGTCTTGTTGTTTATGGTAGATGGAGATGGTGTGGCATGATTCTCCGACCAATTCCGGCCCTAATAGGAAGCTCTCAACAGGATCTGTCAAATGGGCTGATTGGAAATGATCCATGTATGTCCTCCTCTGAAGAAAGGTGCTGCTTATTTATGAAGGTGTGTATCGTCCAACCACATAGTCCTCCTCGCTTGATTCTTTTAATTTTTTGTTTTGCAAACATGGGGTTTTCACGAAAACATCCTCTCTACCCCAAAACCTTGTCTCTATGTGAGATTTATTAGGTTGGTTTGGTTTGGTTGTATTTATCCATCAACACGTGACATATGATTCACTTGCCATTTTGCAATACACAAAGGTGTGATTTGAACTTAGGATCTCTATGTAACTTGAATAGGTTTAAACCACCTTAGCAATCCCAAGTGGACATTTCTGGCTTTTATACTACAATCATAGCACCCTATTCGGCTTTCATCATATGGGATGGGTAGCGGATACGTTTGTGTACATCTCGTGATCCTACTTTTGAGTGGGATATATTGGGATCATTTGATTTGGTGATTTCATTTGTAGAATGAACATGGCAATTGCTACTTTGCAAAACCTAATGGGTAAGCATTTTATGTGCAGTGGCTGACAGATGTTGATGGGCTGGGGATGATTAGTGAAGTAGTTGATATACAAGTTGAAAGGTTATTTATATAATTTTGTTGCATATAGGAGTAGCGTCAAGTCATAACTTATTCATTAGTGTTGTATTGTAATTAGTTTCTGACATAAATTTTGAAGATAGTAATAGCCCTTCTGATAGAAACATAAGCATGCCCTTTGAAAGAGGTTGTTGGTCCGTACCAATTATACTTTTTTTTCTGTTTTAACCGATTAAAATACATCCTCTTGGAGACCGGTTGAAACCGGACCAATTATTGGAGGACCCGTAACTAGATTAGAATCTTTAGCCGTATTAGTTAGGGTACTCGCACAATGTAGCAAGATACATTTTGATTTTAATATTTCATTTTATTTTTTATCTCAATTGATGTTATAGCATGATCTTATGTGATTTTGAAAAAACGATAATGTTTTTATTTTTTAATAAAATATAAATATGAAGATATCATAAAATTTTGACAAAAATATATCGATAAAGTATCAAATTAATTATTTAAAATTTATATTTTTTGTGTAATTTTTTATTAAAATTTAATTTAGATTCAATAACAAAGTAATTTATATTTGGTTTAATAAAATATATTTTTCTTATAAAGATAATAATTAATTATTTTGTTAAAACTCGATAATTATCCTAATTATATTTTAGATTTTTTATATTTCAAAATGAAATGTTTATCCTTTACTTGATTATGTTTATCCGCAGTTAGTTACACGAATTCAAACATGGAGCTTTAATAAGTTGTATTTATGCATAGTTTAATTGTAATCTTGAATTTTAAGTAATATGCATTAATATACGGTACTTCATGCATAAAAATGGTTTTTAAGAGTTTTTGTTAAATGCTTTATAATATAGTATAGATAAGTTTTAGGACGGGGTTTCGCAAGGGCTGGGGCCAATTTTCATGTCAGGTCTAAAAAAATGAAACTATTTATTCATGTATACAGTTTTTATTAATTACTTTTGTTGAGAAGTTAACTTTAAACTAATATAAACTCACTCCTAAAGTTTTGTCATGTGACAACTGTCAAATTTGAGCTTCCAAGTTAGCTCTTATTAAGTTTATATTAGTGTTATTAAAGATAATTTATAAAATTAGGAGTTAGTTAGATTAGTTTGGCCGAAAATTTCTAGAGTCTCAGGTAGTTGCTTAGAAAGTCCGGTTCCGATCCGTAACTATCTGAAACGTCCTATATAGTGCCAAATGCTCCAATTTATACCCAATTTATATAAAACACAAAGTTTTAGTGTTTTAAATATAAAACCTTTTTATTTAAATGAATTTAGCCAACATGGGTTTTTAATTTGAAGAAAAATGTCAAAATTGAGAAAAATGACATTTTAGCAATTTTGGTCTTTAGTTTTTTTTATAAAAAAAAAATTATATAGAAGGTGGGCTTGGGCCATCCCATGGCCGGCCCCTTCCCC